AGAGATCCCGATTTGCTGCTTCGTCCAGTTGCTTGTAGAGTAATTATTTATATTTCAGCTTTCTTTAAAGAAACAATATTTTTAAAATATTTTGGCATATTAAAAAAAAATATTTTTAAGTTAATCTGATTTAAAGTTCAAATTTATCCCGGAAGTTCTGTTCCGATTAAATGCTGTAAACAATCGGTAAAATGTTAAACATGAACTTATTAACCTGACCAATGATGATACGAATGAACTGAAATATTTAACTTAATCATAAAAATAAAATTAACTTTCATTTGAATCGAATGCTGAAAACTTCAGTGTTTTATAACCTGAAACGTTAGTGGCCCAATTGTTCACGTGTAGTGTCGTAATATTTTAAATTTTGAAATTATATTTATTTTTAGCATATGGATTTTTTTAAAACTGTTTCCAAATCTTGATTATTTTTCAATCATTCCGCCTCACCTGCTATCCTCTTCCCCCGCCACTATGAAGCAAGCCGCACTGTTTGAGAGCCACTGCCATAGTATATCGTATTAATATATAAAACAAATCAAGCCTTATGCTATTTGACGATAAGGTTACTACCCATATGTACAATATTAATTCATTAAACTACCCGCCCACATTTAAAGTTCTAAGTAAATAATAGAATATTGCTATTTTTTTTATGATAATATAACAGAAAATGCTAATATATACTTTTATATTTGAACTTTGTATTAGAATTTAAATTCAAAGACACACTAAACAAGGGAGAAAGCAGAATCATAAGAAAACGAATTCTTTTAAATATTATGTTAATTTACCTTCTCCCTCTTTGGTATCTACCTTTCCCTCTTTCTCATCTACCTTGACACATAGACACATTTCACTCTCCCCGTTCCTCTTGCAGCTGCTTCTTCTAGACAGCATCAGCCAATGAAATTTCACATAAACTCGGTCACGTGATATGGCAAATTATTTGTTCCCCCCACCTTTCTTCTTCTTATTCTCTTCTGCTTCTTCCTTTCACCGAATTTTTAGATGCACTCAATTTTATCTGTCTGGTGTTACCGAAAAGAGGGTGGCTAGGGTTCGATGCTTAGCGCTCGTAATTCGTATTTATTTTTTTTATTTTTAGGAGTCTCGGGGTTTACGAAATCTGATAATGTTGATGGCGAAATTTTTTTATTGTTATTATTATTATTACTATTATTATTATTTTATTTTATTTTCGGGCTGCGCCTTAATGGATAAGCCGGCTGCTGATGCATCAAAATCTGTTTATTGAGACAGTCATATTGTTCTAATGGCTGGTGTCACAACCGTCAAAATCGTACTCAGGGTATATATGGTGTAAACGAATGTCTTCCTTCCTTCCTTCCTTCCTTCCTTCCTTCCTTCCTTCCTTCCTTCCTTCCTAACTAACTAACTAGCTAACTAACTAATTTACTTTTCCTTTCTTTGTTCATTTTTACAAGTATTCAATGAAGATAAAACATATGACATTAATCTACTGTAAATTTGTTACATTCAATGGGAGGAAAATAGCGGTAAGAAGATTGTGCTGCGCCAGTCTTCGAACTGAACAAAGTCTGAGAAGTTAAAGTATTCATTGAAGTAAAATATGCATGCGCACATGCAATAAAACTAAAACATTATTTAATTAGAAAAGCTTTTTAATTGCTTTTATGAATAAAATATATTATAGATACTATTTTCTTACGAAAAAACATTTTCGATAAATAATGTATTTTTAAAAGAATTGTTTTCATTTAAAAAAATGAATTATTATAATTTATAAAGTTTTAATTCTTCTAAATTTCTGTATTTGTACCAGTTAGATGAGAGTGTCATGAGGTAAAAACTATATTTACTCATCATAAAGGGAAAAACTTTCTACAATTTAGTGATCCCCAATATTTTATAAAGAATATTGAATTTTTACCTGGTTTTGAAAGAGACCAAACACAGATAATTACAGTGCAATTTCATCAAAATAAATAAATAAACAAAAATAAAATAAAAAATAACGTCCCCACTTACCTATTAGACATGCCTTAGACATACCTATATTTTCCGTTGGTAACAATAGCCGCAGTTCAAAATTTAGTAAAAGCTAGGATTTCGAATGCGAATTTTCTAGGCGGGTAATCCCTTTACGCTAAGAAGATCGCTGTAATAAAATCTCGTATCAAATATTTAGCCCTGTTTCAGACAAAGCTGAGCTTTGTCTCGATATATAAAGTTCCTTTCATTGCAACTATTTCCATTTTTTCTTTCTCTTTCTGTTTAGTTGAATTAAGGCTGTATTTTCTCTCTCCTCCATTAATGCTGTGTTTTCTCTCTCCTCCATTAATGCTGTGTTTTTCTCTCCTCCATTAATGTGTGTTTTCTCTCCTCCATTAATGCTGTATTTTCTCTCTCCTCCATTAATGCTGTTTTTTCTCTCCTCCATTAATGCTGTATTTTTCTCTCCTCCATTAATGCTGTGTTTTTCTCTCCTCCATTAATGCTGTTTTCTCTCTCCTCCATTAATGCTGTGTTTTCTCTCTCCTCCATTAATGCTGTGTTGTTTTCTCTCCTCCATTAATGCTGTGTTTTCTCTCTCCTCCATTAATGCTGTGTTTTCTCTCTCCTCCATTAATGCTGTGTTTTCTCTCTCCTCCATTAATGCTGTGTTTCTCTCTCCTCCATTAATTTTCTCTCTCCTCCATTAATGCTGTATTTTTCTCTCCTCCATTAATGCTGTGTTTTTCTCTCCTCCATTAATGCTGTGTTTTCTCTCCTCATTAATGCATTTTCTCTCCTCCATTAATGCTGTGTTTTCTCTCTCCTCCATTAATGCTGTGTTTTCTCTCTCCTCCATTAATGCTGTATTTTCTCTCTCCTCCATTAATGCTGTGTTTTCTCTCTCCTCCATTAATGCTGTGTTTTCTCTCTCCTCCATTAATGCTGTGTTTTCTCTCTCCTCCATTAATGCTGTATTTTCTCTCTCCTCCATTAATGCTGTGTTTTCTCTCTCCTCCATTAATACTGTGTTTTCTCTCTCCTCCATTAATGCTGTGTTTTCTCTCTCCTCCATTCTACAAAGCGTTTAATATGTTTCCTTTTAACTCAGTCCTATTCCCACATGACTTGATATTTCTATTTATTGACTTACACAAAATGATTTATGATTTTATTTTTTGCTTCTCTTTCTCTCTGTTTATATTATTAGTCTTTCTTTCTTTGTTTTTTCTGTCTTTCTTACTAATTTTCTCTCTTTTTTAGTATTCTCCCTTTTTCGTTTTTCTTCCTTTTTCTTTGCTTTTATTCCGTCTTTTTCTTTCTTTTTCTCTTTATTTTTATTATTTCTTTCATTTTTCTTACTTTATTCAGTCTTTCTTTAGCCAGTCTTTCTTTAGCCTTGTATTTTTCTTTCTTTCTAGTTTTATTTTATTTTATTTTTAGTTTTCTTTCTTTCCTTTTACTCATTGTTTTTTTTCTTTCTTTCTTGTTTAGCTTTCGTTTCTTTTCATATCTGTTTTTATTCTTTCTTACATTTTGTTTTTAATAATCTTTTTTTCGTTTTTCTTTCTTTTTTTTCTTTTTGCTTTTATCCTTTTTCCCTTTATTTTTATTCTTTCTTTCTTTTTTCTTTTGTTACTCAATTTTATTTCTATTATCCGGTCTTTCTTTCTTCCTTTTATTCAGTCTTTCTTAGGCTTTGTTTTTAAGTCTTTCTTTCTTTCTTTCTTTCTTTCTTTCTTTCTTTTATTTTTAATTTTCTCTCCTTCCTTTTACTCATTGTTTTCTTTCTTTCTTTTATTCAATCTTTCTTTAGCCTTCTCTTTCTTTCTTTCTTTCTTTCTTTCTTTCATTCATTTACTCAGTGTTTTCTTGCTTTTTTTTATTCAGTCTTTCCTTAACTTTTTCTTTCTTTCTTTTTTCTTTCTTTCTTTCTTTCATTTTTTTTTAATTTTCTTTTCTGTTGCTCATAGTTTTCTTTCTTTCTTTTATTCAGTCTTTCTTTAGCTTTGTCGTTAAGTATTTCTTTCTTTCTTTCTTTCTTTCTTTCTTTCTTTCTTTCTTTCTTTCTTGTTCTCTTTCATTTTATTTTTTAGTTTTCTTTCTTTTCTTTTGCTAATTGTTTTCTTTCTTTCTGTGCCAATTATTAGGTCTCAGTTTGTGACCTTTTCATCGCAAATAACTCAACTCCGTGCAACTCGTAACATATCAAGCAATTTCCTTTGTCGGAAGTCATTTACATAATTGTTGTACGCCATCATTACCACCTTCTTTGCTATTCTTGTCTTCACACAAACATCGAAGCAGAAAAAGTATCGCAGACGCAGTCATTGTAACCACAAACACTGAACTGAAGGAACTGATCAACACCAGAGAAAGAGGCAACTGCAGAGTTTCTTGACGGTAAAACAAACACTTTAAATTGACTGTTGATAAAAAAAAGAAAAATGTTTCCTTGCATCTTATTTTGATAAATGGCACCTGATTGTTAAAATTTATATTATAAAGGACGAACTGATTCTCTGTCCGTCACAAAATGCCAGCATGTGACTTTGTATCCGCATATGTAATTTATATGCGCCTCTGTTGTACTTGAGTGACTTATATGCAATTATCTCATTTAATGTACACATAGGTACGCACGCACAAACACATAGTCACACAATTGGACTGAGTTTCAAATAATATATTTGATACATTCTCTTGAGTCTGGACAATTCCTACCCTGGGGCGAGCAACCAAATCCTAAATTTAGAGACAACTGATTGGTTCGTTTTTTACGGTTCATCAATCTTTTGCAGGTTATTTGAAACGAAAAAAAATTTTTTTAGACTGTAAGAGTTTTCTTCTTTGAGATAATAATAATTGTGTAGTGATACAAGTCTTGCTAATTAACCCATAGCTGGTAGACAAGAGGTATTGGCGCGTAAGTGAAAATAACGAACTCAATGGGAATCGAATCTCAGCTCTCCGATTAACAATTCCGAGCCATTATCCATTACAGCACCTGCACGTCCAAGCTTACAGCACCCGGTATTCCCAAGCAGTCTCCAATTTAGGTACTGACCAGGCTCAACGTTGCTTAACTTCGGTGATCGCACGGGAACCGGTGGTTTACCGTGATGTCGTAAGCTCTTAACGGAAAAGAAAAAAAAATCTAATATTTTAAACCTTAAAAGTAACAGTGAGCAACCTCTTACAATCCGAAAACGTTTCAGCTTTAAATAAACCGCCATGGGTTGATAAACCGTAAAAAATTAATCAATCAATTAAATTTTGAAGAAATATTTTAAGATATGCCTTTGAAGCGAAATCTACATGCACATACGCAAATGTATATACAAATACAATCGGAATTAAATTGAAACGGAAATATGTATTGCGAATGCTAATTTCCCATTTGTCCGGCAACAACCCCTGGATAACAGGAAAAAAGTATAAGCCGAATTGTGTAGCCTTTACAAGTAATTTCTATAACTTCTTCGGTATTTAAACTGAATATATATTTCTAATAAATTATACTAGTAATTTCAATATATGTTCTAATATATTTTAAGAATTGATTTTAAACTTGGCATCTCGACTTCAGTCACTTTCTCACAGATGTGATGTGGTTTCCCTCTGTCTTTTCTACAAATGTTTTCATGTCAACTGCTCTGACGAGCTATTTTCACTGGTGCCCCAACTGCATGAATTTAAACGTGCTACTAGGTTAGCATCTCGGTCTCACACTTTCACTGTCGAAACAGTTAAATGCAACTGCTTCTTCTACTGCAACAACTTCTTCTCTCGCACTTCCCGACAGTGGAACTCCCTTCCTCTTACTTGCTTCCCTGGTAACTATAATCTTCAAGAAATTAAATGTAATGTGAATCGAAATCTTCCGATGCTTTGATGTCGATCCCCGTTCTTCTCTTTATCCTTTCTTCAAACACCCCTTTTCTCTTGCATTCATTCTCTGTAACCCCTTGCTTGGGATGAAATGCTTAAAAAATAAAAAAATAAATAAATGAATAAAAATGGACAAACAATTTAGAATTTTTTTTTCTTTTCCTTATCTTGATGATTAACATGAATTAAAATGTGGATAAGTGTAAACAGAATATGATGTTTGAGCGCGTTTCTCTGTGTGTACGTGTATGTGGGTATATGTCTCGGTGGCGGGTGGGATCAAATCTGTACTTACCACTTCAAGCCAAGCACGCCGCCATATTCTTGATCAGATAGAAATTGTGGCTGTGTTTCCTTCCCTTTTTATGGGAGAGCGAATTCTACTGGTGAACCGGATGTCATTCGCGATTGGACAATAAATTGCCAAGAAGAGTCATATGGTGTATACTTCGGAAGATGGAAAAACTTGTAGCTAACGGAAAGAGCACAAGTCGATAACTGGTCTGTATCGGCTGTGTCACCGTGGAGAGGGGTATGATGTTGAATGACTCGAAACCCCCAATGAACCTCGGCTAGAAGCATCACTGATGATGCGTACTAAAGCATCCAATAAGTATATTTTACGAAATAGAATTGAAATGTGATCATCATGCCGTAAATAATCGACGGCTACCGAAACAGTGAAAATTAATTTCTAATTATCCAGAACGTCACTGAACCAGGAGAAAATGTATTTTTCCACACTTACGTCTTTTATTACCAATCTTATGAATGGATATAGTACCGTATTTTCTTGGAAGACAAATCGGTATACAAGAGTCCACCCTATTTTGAAGACAAAGATTTGGGAACAAAACTACAGTCGTGTTTGAACGGTTTTTATTAAAGAAAAAATCAATTTGATACTTTAAAAATTGATATATATTAGATACCTCCACAGATCCGCTAAAAAAAAGAAAAAAGAAAACGAGCATGCCATGATGAAAAAATGCGCTAAATTTAATAAAAACGAAGTTTTATTGTCAAAGTCTTTATGTTATGATTAAGAAGAAAGACGAGATGATTTTTGATTATTAAATTTTTTGATCTTTTTAAATGTTCGAAATTTTGGTTAAAAATCTTGTTTTTGTTGCGTCAGCGGTGGTACCAAATATTAGTACAGAGGAACCTCGGTTCTCGAACGTCTCATATGTCGAACAAATCGCTTTTCGAACAGAAAATTCGAGATGAAAATGCCTCGGTTCTCGAACGTCTCATATGTCGAACAAATCGCTTTTCGAACAGAAAATTCGAGATGAAAATGCCTCGGTTATCGAACAAAATTTCGGTTCTTGAACATAGCCGAACTGAGTTAACACGAACGGAATCATTTCTGTGTCGACCGCCGTGTTGGATACATTCGTGTGTTGATTGTGCTTTTCTTTTCCAAATTTAATGTACTGTGACATTTTGATTCCTAATGGAAAATAGTTTCGGTTTACGAACATTTCGGGTTACGAATGGCCTTCAGGAACGAATTAAATTCGCGAACCGAGGTTCCACTGTATAAGAAATTTTAGGGTCTTTCTTTGTGATGAAAAGCACATTGATTTGGAAATTCTTGCAAGAAATCAAATAATTGTCGGATTTTAATGAAGCTCTCAAGCCTTAAATACACAAATTATTTACATTATTTTAGAAAATTTTAGTAAAAACTCTTTTTTTTTTTCTTATACATTTATTGGAAAATTTCGAGAAATTAATTTTTGTCGAGCTTCATGTTTATATCAGTCATACGCAGAAATGAGGAATTTTTAATCAGTTTTTTTTATAAAATAGGATCCTGAGTTACTTTGAATCATAAAATAAAAAAAATGCATTAAAACCAAGTCATTATTTAATTAGAAAAATTGCCAAGAAGAGTCGTATTTTGTATACTTATTAAAAAAAAGCTTTTATTTACTTTTATGAATAAGATATATTATAGACACTAGGAAAGAACTTTTTTCGAAGAATAATGAATTTTTACAAGAACTTATTTAAAAAAAATAATTGGTATAATTTATAAAGTTTTAAATCTTTTAAATTTCTGTATTAATTTGTATCGGTTAGGTGATATTGTTATTAAATAAAAACTATATTTTCCCATCAAAAATGGAAAAGCTTACGACAATTTAACGACCCCCAGTATTTTATAAAGAATATTGAATTTTTGTGTTTCTATAGACGTGCCGATTTTTGTAAATACAGATCTATCTCCATACACGACATTATCAAAAAATAAGAGCGATAACTATAGTAAATTTAAAGTCAATCTACCTGAAATTCAATAAAACATTAGATTACGGAGAATATTTTCCGAAATTTTTAATATTACTAGTGAGTTAAAATTAAATAAAAAAGGCACTCACGTCATATTCCTTAGGTATTTTTTAAAGATATGTCTACCGTGGAAAATATTAGATAAACTTCCGTCTGTCAGTCAAGATGTCAGCCTGTCAACACCTTGAATAAACACCTACTCACGTGTTAAAAATGCATTTCTGTAATATTTTAAACTAAAAGTAGGTAATATTTATTTGAAATCAGATTAATTAAACTTTAAATCAGCAAAAATTTCTCAAATATAGTTTCAGAAAAGTATATTTTATTTTGGAAAGATTTAGTAATAAAGAAACTTACACTTCGATGGTAGATGGCTAAAAATGATGCTAAAATCATAAGTTTTAATGATGTCAAAAACATAAACATCTTCCAATCAATTTAAGTTAGTTTTGAAATAAAGAAAATGCATTTTGCTTATTGTAAATATTAAATAATTAATCTATTAGCTTGAAATTAAAACGAAAATAAAAGCCCCAATAAAATCAATTTTAAACCTTAGGTATCAAATTTCTTTGGCGATAACTACTAAGTAATTTACTTAGTAAGTCCACATGAATTTCCTGCTCTCGATACAACTACAGAGAACTGACCATTAGAAAAATATTTGGATAATTTTTTAACGTTTACAAGGTGCGATGGATAAATTGTCGCCTAAATTAAACAAAGATGAAAATAATACTGACATCTCATTTTAACAAATATATTTACCAAAATTACACAAAAATATCTTGAAATACTAAAGAGGAAACTCTATTCAATGAAATCGCCATTAGCTTCAACGACTGCCTCTCCACGACTTCGGAATCTCTTGGAACTCTTCTGGACGGTCTCCTTGTTTAAGTTAGTGAATGCTGTCAGAATCCTTGCCTTCAGTTCATTTTTGCTGTTACAGGGAGTTTTGTTGATCTCTCGCGCAACAGCGCCCCACACATAATAATCAAAGGGGTTGCACTCTGGGGAGTTAGGTGTCCAGATGTAAGGGATGATGTGGCTGTAGAAATTGCCTGACAGCTATGACTGGGTTCTTCTGTTTGTATAGCATTGTGCAAAGTCCTGTTGCCAGGCATAGGATCTTCCATCAGCCACCCTCTTGACCCAAGGCAGTACTAACCCCTCAAGGAACTTAACGTAGGCCTCCGTGTTGAGTCTGAGACCCGGTGTGAAAATGAATGGCAGCATAACGTCGCCATCACTAGTGATCACTCTAAACACGTTCGTAATCACCTCTAGATCCATACAACTCTTTCCTCTGCACTGTCCTCAGATTGACGCACAACCAGTCTTAGACGTTCATATTGGAGCTTCCGGCGAGAATGCCAAACAGTATAGCATGATGTTTTCAAACTTTTGGTGGAATGAATTGCGTCATGGTGCTCTTTTTCTCACAGATGGTTCCAAAACTGACCCTACTATACTGTACAGTCGACAAAATCAAAAACAAAAAATGCGCATGCGCAAAAGTAAAAATATAAAATGAAGAAAATTTATCCATCGCATTCTGTATATTAAAAATAGTAAAAACTTTTCCATTTGTGTAAATAATTCGGTAAAGTTTTCAGAAAATCTAATTCAACAGATTAATCAGACTATATAAATAATTCCATTGTTTTTTTTGGGTGCCAGTCGGCTAATTTGCAGTAATGGGAAATAGCAGACGATAACAATATTTATTATGAACGCTGGAGGTCTTTTAACTTATGACTGAATTTAGAATTTTGAAAATTCTTTCTGTACAAGCACGATGAATCGGAATTAAAAATAAATACCACAGAAGAAATATTTATTAAAATATGCTTTTAAAATTGTTATGTAAATTAAACGTTACTGCAAATGTTGTAAACGCCCTTCGTTTTTTTATATATAT